ATTAATATTATTATATATATATATTATATAATATTATAAATTATTTATTTATAATATTAATATTATATTTATAATATCATATTTATATTAAATCTAAATATACTATTTCATAATATAATTTAAATCATAACATAATTAATTTGAAATTATTTAAATATTTTTTTGGTTGTTTTTGTAATTTGGTAAAATTAAAAATTGTCAATAGAAATAGAAAAGAATTAAAAATTACGATGATTTTGTTCGATTTCTTTTTGTTATTATATATATATATATATTTTTTTTTTTTTTAATTATATTACAATCATTAATTGAAACGAAATAAAATATTAAATTATATTTTATCACAGAAATTCTTCTTGATTTTGAACCAAACGTAAAATAAGAAGAATATGAATGCGTATATCTGGCTGTGTAATTGTATATATATATATATAAAAGTATTGGTATCCGTTTCGTCACGATTCTTAAAAGGAGAAGCGGAAAGGGCGACAAACGGGTGAGCCTTTCGACATTTCGAATATATTCCAAGCGAATCATGACAATGGTGAACGCCTCGACCTTTAAACACTACCACCAACTACGAAGAGGACATTGAAGTAAGAAAAAAAAAAGAAATAAATAAAGTAAGAGAGAGAGAGAGGGAGAGAGAGATATAGAGATGGAACATCGATTACACGCAAATGGTATGGTGTGTAGGTAACTTGTTCGATACGATACATCATAGTGGCAATATATTTAAATCAGAGTTTGGAAACGTGATATTTTTCTTGAAAATATATTTTTTTTATTCAACGATATCTTTCTTTTTTTTTTCTTACTTTCTCGTATTTCTTAGCAGTACTTATTATGTAGATAAGTGTGTGTTTGTGTGAATTTAAGGTTTACTGATTACCATTGAAAATTCTTTTGTCACGTGTAATAATTTGTCAAACGTATTTTTGAAATATAAATTTTAATCAATTTTGAAAAACTCATAAATTTAAATGTAATAAAATATATTAAGTTGACAACTAAGTCATTGCTAAATTTAAAAAGCCACTTATCAACAAAATCCGCAATAATTGTCAACTTTACGCAATACTTGTCAACTTAATAAAACAAAATGAGAAAAAATTATGTAAGAAAATTGGTTGATTTAAAAGATACTTTCTACACATTTATTATATATTTAATGCAAATTAAAATATATAAATATTCATAAAAAAATTTGGCATTACACGATAGTAATGACATTTATGATGTATTTAATTTTTTTCTGTCTATGAATGTATTCTTTAAGTAGAACTAAAGAAAAAAAACAAACCAAAAAAATGGAAACAAAAATGACTAGAGATATAAGCACGAATTAAATATTTCTTTTTTTCATATCGAAGAAATTACGATATAATGACGAAATGAAAGTAATAATTATGATAATAATAATAATAATAATAATTTAATAATAATAATAATAATAATACATAATTTATATTCATGAGCAGAACATACGAGTATCTTCCGAGAGAGTGAGAGTCTTTAAGTTTCTTATGAAAAACATTGTGTTTTCTGCGAGAGATCGGATATTAACCGTGACCTTCTTTCTTGTTTCTATGTTTTTT